CTTAGGATCGTTTAAACAGGCCTGGATATTTGACTGCCAATAATTATAGCACAAAACCTGAAAACAGACCACGAGTAAATGATAAATACATAAAGCTGATCAGGGGTCAAAATGTGGGGCCCATCAGCAGCATTGGGGGGTTATTCTCCGACCACATTCCGTCATTGTCGATTTCGCCTGCAAGTGACTTGCATGACTCATTTAACTAATTCTGCGACTGATTCATCCACCTCACAATCATATGATCAGTAACTGCAATCATATTCAGTCATGTATGGTATGGNGTAGTTCACCGTGACGAATAACAAAATTACCCCATAACGAACGATTGAATTTGAATTCCATACAACTTGCATCACTCTGTGTGTGAGGGGATGCATCCAGTCCGAACACTGGTACCATGCCCCCTCTTTGAAAGAGCACATGTAGGTCGATTTCCATTTAGCTATGAGCTATACCAGCGTCTTCGTTCAATTTAGGCCACTCCTGGCTGCCTGGGTTAAGACAATGATTTTACATGCATCCATCAAGTTTTAGTTTAGTTGATGTCTGGGACCAATCGAACGTAGAGCGCGCCCATCCACTGTGCCCAGGAAAACAGTCAGAAAATCTACGTCAATTATCAATATTCTTTATATGACTGATATTTAACTAATGCACCTGCCTTAACTACATGAATGTACAAAACAAAATCCAAACAAAGGTCTTTCGCTAGCCTACTATAGGTTGAATTAGCCCATTAGTTTGTTTCCACAGCGGGATGCCGTGCTCAGCAAAACACAAACAACAATTCAATATAACACCACCACTACAGGTTTCTTGGTTAATGCGGATGGTATAACACCTGATAATACTGACATAAACTGTGGAAGGACACAATTAGGTGACACAGTTAGGACAATTAAGTCGAACCCCAAGATATTTCGAGAGCCAGGTCTTTCTGCTTCCTTCTGTAGCCCTGAAGACCTCTCCAGTTCGCTTATAAATCAAACATGTCCACTTTGGATGCTGTTGTCGCCCTCGTTCATCACGTTACCAAATCCTTAGACGCATCTGCGAAGTTTGTAAGATGTGTTTTCTTAGATTTTTCATCAGCTTTTGACCTTGTTCCACGTTCCGTCCTTCTTCGTAAACTGGAATCATTTGGCTGTCCCAAGTACCTACTGGCGTGGCTCGTCGACTACTTTACAAACAGAACTCAGCAGACTCGGCTCGGTTGGAAAACGTCTAAACCACTGGTGAACAATTCGGGAGTACTAAAGGGTGCCGTATTGTCTCCGTTCTTGTTTTCCACCTATATCAGTGATCTGTTTGCGAGTTCTCCAACCCAGTTATTTAAATATG